TCCCCCCGAGCCCCGCAGCCGCCCCGAGTGTCCCCAGCCCCGCTCCTGCCCCGGAGCTCAGCCCGGCGCTGCCGTTTCCTGCCGGGAAGCCCCGGCCCCTGCGATTGTTCTCGCACGGATGCGGCCCCGGCAGGGGCGGGAGCGGGGCCGGGGCCGGGACCCCGACAGCGGCACCGGGAGCGGCACCGGGAGCGGCACCGGGAGCGGCACCGGGACAGGGCTGCACCGGGACAGGGCTGCACCGGGAGCGGCACCGGGAGCGGCACCGGGGCTCCTCGGGGACGGGGCTGCACCGGGGTCCGGGGCTGGGAGCTGGCCTGGGATGAGATCCATCCTGATTTAGGACCTGTCCTGGTGTGGGACCCGTGCTGGTCTGGGACCTGTCCTGGTCTGGGACTCATCCTGGTGTGGGACCTGTCTGGGTCTGGCACCTGTCTTGGTTTAGGACCTGTCCTGGTGTGGCACCTGTCTTGGTTTAGGACCTGGCCTGGTGTGGCACCTGTCCTGGTGTGGCACCCGTCCTGGTGTGGCGCCCACCCTCGTGCCGACACACCTGCACATACTCTGCTCCATCCTGCCCCGTTCCAGCTCCCTGCGCTGCCCCTGGCCACGCTGTGCTGTCCCTGCTGTCCCCACCCCGTGGTGGCTGTCTGCCCTCCCGGGCCGTGCCTCCCCTGGCCTGGCACACCAAGGCCTGGCCTCGCTCACGGCTGGCACGGCGTGCCCATGGCAGTGCCAGGGTGGCAGTGCCATGGGGGACAGGCCGGGGAGTCCTGACACCCTTGTCACACACACACACCTGCACATGTGTGTGTCATGAGGTCACCACAGCGTGTCCCTGTCACACTCCCCCGTCCCATGTGCCCGTGGTGATGTGCCCTTGCTGTCCCCTTGCTGTCCCCTTGCTGTCCCTCACCCCAGTGTGGTGGCACAGGCGTGCCAGGCAGGATGGGCAGTGCCAGTGTCCCCTGCAGGGGACTGGACACATGGTGATGTGCCCTTGATGTGCCCTTGCTGTCCCCTTGCTGTCCCTCACCCCAGTGTGGTGGCACAGGCGTGCCAGGCAGGATGGGCAGTGCCAGTGTCCCCTGCAGGGGACTGGACACCTGGGGCACATCCCAGCATGTTCTGGTCTGATGGCACCATGGCCCTTGCCCCTGTCCCCAGAGTGTTGTGGCACCTGGCTCTGAAAGTGTCATGGCCCAGTGTCATTCTCCTGTGGTGCCATGTCCCTGCTCCTGGGGGTGCCATGGCAGCATGTCCAGGTCCCTGTGGTGCCATGTCCCTGTGTCCTGCTCCTGGGGGTGCCATGGCAGCATGTCCAGGTCCCTGTGGTGCCATGTCCCTGCTTCCTGCTCCTGCATGGCAGCATGTCCAGGTCCCTGTGGTGCCATGTCCCTGTGTCCTGCTCCTGGGGGTGCCATGGCAGCATGTCCAGGTCCCTGTGGTGCCATGTCCCTGCTCCTGGGGCTCTGAAAGTGTCATGGCCAAGTGTCATTCTCCTGTGGTGCCATGTCCCTGCTCCTGGGGGTGCCATGGCAGCATGTCCAGGTCCCTGTGGTGCCATGTCCCTGTGTCCTGCTCCTGGGGGTGCCATGGCAGCATGTCCAGGTCCCTGTGGTGCCATGTCCCTGTGTCCTGCTCCTGAGCACTCCATGGCTCCGTGTCCTGATCCTCACAGTGTGTCACCTTTTGTTATGGCCCTGAGGATGTCACAGCATTTTGTCATTGTCCCAAAGACATCTTGTCTCCCTGTCCCATCCTGGGGGTGTGGTGACATTGTGTGGTGTCTGAGGGCGTTGCTGCAGTGTCCTGGCCCTGAGTGGGCATGGAAATGTGTCCTGGTCTGGGAGGGTGTCACACACACCTGTGTGTTTGGTGCTGAGTGCCGTGGTGCAGTGTCCTGGTGTCAGGGTGACACAGCAGTGTCCTGGTGCTCAGGATGTCACACACACCTGTGTGTTTGGTGCTGAGTGCCGTGGTGCAGTGTCCTGGTGTCAGGGTGACACAGCAGTGTGTCCTGGTCCATCAGGGTGACACAGCAGTGTGTCCTGGTGTCAGGGTGACACAGCAGCGTGTCCTGGTGTCAGGGTGACACAGCAGCGTGTCCTGGTGTCAGGGTGACACAGCAGCGTGTCCTGGTGTCAGGGTGACACAGCAGCGTGTCCTGGTGTCAGGGTGACACAGCAGCGTGTCCTGGTGTCAGGGTGACACAGCATCCTGGTCCATCAGGGTGTCACCCCCATGTCTGCTGGCCCTGGGGCTGCTGTGACACCGAGCCCTGGCCCCAGGTGTCCCCTGGGCAGGTCACACGTGGCACACACGAGGTGGGGCTGGCACTTTCAGCGCCATGTGCTGCTGTCCCCCCCCCAGCACCAACGCAGCCCCTGCCCTGTCCCAGCAGGCGGACAGCAGTGACACCCCCAAAGACAGCGCGGCCGTCCCCAAGTGCCCCCCGCCGTGCCCCGAGGCCAGCCCCGCCGAGCCGCTGCCCAACGGGGACGTGGAGGGGGACGCGGAGGAGGCCGGGGCCAGCCCCAAGGGCGGCCGGCCCGAGGAGGACGAGACGGAGAGCCTGGCGGGCGGGGAGCCGGGCCGGGCGCTGGAGAACGGCCGCTGCACGCCCAGGGAGGGGCTGGACGCGCCCGCCGACGAGGGCGAGCTGGCCCCCTCCGACCCCCAGAAGAAACGCGGCAGGAGGAAACTCCTGGAGGCCACAGAGAAAGGTAAGAGCTCGGCCTCGGGGGATCCCACCTGCCACAGGGACCCTGGGCCCCCCACGGACCCCCGGGACCCCCAGAGACCCTGAGGACCCCCAGCCCCCTGAGACTCCTGGGACCCCCAGGGACCCCCAGAGACCCTGAGGACCCCCAGCCCTTCAGGGACCTCCAGACCTTCAAGGACTCTCAGCCCCCAGGGACCCCTGGTCCTTCAGGGACCCCCAGCCCCCCAGAGACTCCCAGCACCCCAGGGACCCCAGGGACCCCCAGCCCCTCAGGGACCCCCAGCCCTTCAGAGACCCCCAGCCCCCGGGGATCCCGGGGCACCCAGGACAGGAGCAGAGGCCAGGGCCCGGGCTGGAGCCCGGGGGTCCCTCTGGAGCTCGGGACAGCCTTCTCAGCACTCCCAGCTCCAGCACTCGGCCCTTCCTGACTGCAATCATCACAGACTGACCGGCCATGGCGAGCCTGTGCCGAGCCAGGGAGGGTCCGGAGGGACACGGAGCTGGGATGGAGCTGGAAGAGGCAGGGACAGAGATGGAAGAGGCAGGAATGGCCAGAGCAGGCAGGGATAACTGGGGCAGGCAGGGATGGATTTGGAAGAGGAAGGAATGGAGCTGGAAGAGGCAGGCATGGCCAGGACAGGCAGGGATGGCTGGATGGGACAGGCAGGGATGGAGCTGGAAGAGGAAGGGATGGAGCTTAAAGAGGCAAGGACAGAGCTGGCAGAGGCAGGGACAGAGCTGGAAGAGGCAGGGATGGCTGGGGCAGGCTGGGATGCAGCTGGCAGAGGCAGGCATGGCAGGCACGGCGGGATGGATGCATGGATGAGCCGCACGCTGCAGATGCTGCCGCAGTCACGAGGCGCAGCCGCGGGAGCGCCGCAGCCGCGCTGGGGGGAGCGGGGGGGCCCGGGCAGCCGGACCCGGCTGCGGTGTCCGAGCGGTGCCAGGGCCCCGGGGCAGCGGGGGCAGCGAGCTCCATCCCTGCCTGCCTCCCGACTCCATCCCTGCCTCCTTCCCAGCTCCATCCCTCCTTCCCAGCTCCATCCCTGCCTCCTTCCCAGCTCCATCCCTCCTTCCCAGCTCCATCCCTGCCTCCTTCCCAGCTCCATCCCTGCTGTCCCCCAGCACTCAGAGCACAGCCCTGGGCTCCCCTCCTGCTCCGGCCTTGCAGCTTTGGGGGGCTCCAGCTGCCATGGGGGGCTGGATCCCCACGTGCCAGCTGCAGGGTGCCATCCCAGAGTCACTCTGGGCCGCCCCGGCTCTGTGCCAGCGTGCCCAGCAGGCAGGCCCGGGTGCCAGGGGTGCCAGCAGCGGGCGGGAGCCCCCAGCCCAGCCCGCGGCCGCCCCCGCCGCGGCGCTCTCAGCCCCCAGAGCCTCGGGGTTATTTTTAGCCGCTTTCCTGGCAGCGCTCGGCAGCCCTGCGGATGTGCCGCGAGCACAGGAAGCAGCGGGGCTGCGCCGCTTCCCCTGCCCGCGGGGGGGTCCCCGCGCGGACCCCCGAACCCGCGGGGCACAGCAGCCCGGGCTGGGGGCTCTGCAGGGGCTGCCAGGCCCCAGTGCCCGGGGCCGTGCCTGGCCCCGTGTCCCTGGAGTCCCGGGTGGGCCCCATCACCCCGCGGGGTCCCGGCTGTGCCCCGTGTCCCCCGGGGGTCCCGGGCGTGCCCCGAGTCCCCGCGGGGCCCCGCGCTGACGCCGCTCTCTGTTCGTGTGCAGGCAAGGACGAGAAGGAGGAAAACAACTTCGACACCCTGAAAATGGAGGCAAGTACGGGCTGGGGCTGCACCCTGCACGGCTGTGCCCAGGAGAGGGGCACGGCCCAGCCCCGGGGATGGGCACAGCCACCCCAGGAGATGGGCACAGCCCCACAGCCATCCCAGGGGATTGCACAGCCCCACAGCCCACCCCAGGAGATGGGCACTGCCCCACAGCCATCCCAGGAGGTGGGCACAGCCACCCCAGGGGATGGGCACAGCCCCACAGCCCACCCCAGGGGATGGGCACAGCCACCCCAGGGGATTGCACAGCCCACCCCAGGGGGTGGGCACAGCCCCACAGCTATCCCAGGGGATTGCACAGCCCCACAGCCCACCCCAGGAGATGGGCACTGCCCCACAGCCATCCCAGGAGGTGGGCACAGCCACCCCAGGGGATGGGCACAGCCCCACAGCCATCCCAGGAGATGGGCACGGCCCAGCCCAGGGGATGGGCACAGCCACCCCAGGGGGTGGGAACAGCCCCACAGCCCACCAGGCCGTGTGGTGCTCCTCGTGCCCACGGGCACCATCTCCCCCTCTCCCTTGGCACCGGTGGCCATGGGGCAGCAGCAGGGCCCACATCCCCACAGGAAGGGGGTCCTGGGGGGTCCTGGGCTCCCGTGCCACACAGCCAGACACTGGGCAGCACTTGCTGCTGTGTGGGCACGGGTGGCACCGGGCTGTGCCAGGCCAGAGCCCCCCTCCAGCCCTCCCCTCAGCTCCCTCAGTGCTCTGGGCACGGTGTGTTGGCTCTGCTTTGGGGCAGATCTGTGCCTGGATGGCACTGGTGGTGCCCACCAAGGTGCAGCTGTGATGCCATGGCACCCGGGTCATTGAATCCCAGGCTGGTTTGGGCTGGAGGGCACCTCAGGGTTCATCCATGCAGGGACAGACTGAGCTGCTCCGAGCTGTGCCCAGTGTGCCCTGGAGCACTGCCAGGGCTCCAGGGGCAGCCACAGCATCTCTGGCACCCTGTGCCAGGGCATCACCACCCCACAGGGCAGAACGTCTGCCCAGCATCACATCTCAGGTCCTGGTGCACACGCGGGCCAGGCCATGTTCGTGTGCCCAGGCAGGCAGTGCCCCCCTTGCCCACCTCCCCACGCATGAGGTGTCCCCAGGGCAGCTCTGCTGTGTCCCCTGTGCCACCCCCGGGCTGTGCTGGCCCTGGCAGTGCCATGCCCAGCCCTGGCAGTGCCCTCACCCCCCTCTCCGTGGCAGGGCTCGCGCGGGCGGCTCCGCGGCGGGCTGGGCTGGGAGTCGAGCCTGCGGCAGCGGCCGATGCAGCGGCACACCTTCCAGGCCGGGGACCCCTACTACATCAGCAAGAGGAAGCGCGACGAGTGGCTGGCACGCTGGAAGCGGGAGGTGAGCGCTGGCACCGGGGCTGGCACCGCGGGGACGCTGAGGGGGTGGTGGGCACGCACGGGGGGCGCGGGTGGGCACACAGGGGGTGGTGGAAAGGCTGCTCCGTGCTGCCGGTGGGGTCGCTGCCCCACTGGCACCTGAGTGTGGCTCCTGGCTCCGTTCCTCGCCCCCGTGCCCCCGGGCTGCCCTCTCGGGGTTGGTGACACAGCCACGGGCAGCAGCCCGTTCCTGATGTTTTCCCCAGAACCAGCCCGTGGCACAGCCGGGCTCGTGGCAGGAGCTGGCAGCCACAGTGCCAGCCATGACTCGTGGGCAGCAGGGACAGGGGCTCTGCGGGTGCCCCGGGGTCCCCGTCACAGCCCTCACCCCGTCCTGGCATTGTCCCCCCTGCCAGCGTGTCTCATGCCAGTGTGTCCCCTTGTGCTGGGTGCTGTTTGTAGCCCTGCTGCCAGCACCCTCCTGCTGGCACCCACAGGGACAGTGGCACAGCCAGGGTGTCCCACTGGGCACGGCTGCCATGGCCAGGCCATGCTGTGGGGCACAGGGCATGGCTGACACGGCCACGGTGTCCCCATGGGACACAGGGCACAGCTGGCACATTCAGTGCCCCACAGGGCACAGGGCATGGCTGACACGGCCACGGTGTCCCCACGGGACACAGGGCACATTCAGTGCCACACAGGGCATGGCTGACATGGCCACGGTGTCCCCACAGCTAGCACAGCTGGCACATTCAGTGCCCCACAGGGCACAGGGCATGGCCCTTCCCTGCCCTGGCGGGGTCCTGGGCACAGCCCCCTGTCCTGCCCCGTGTCCCCAGAGCAGAGCCCTTGGCACTGGCAGGTTCCTCGGCGTGGGGCCCCCCAGGCCCTGCAGGTCCCCAAGCCACGGGGCCTCCAGAGCTGTCACTGGTCACTCCTGGCCGTGGCTTGGGGGGGCAGAGCTGGCTGGGGGCACAGGGACCATTCACAGCTGCTGTGCCACCCCCCGCCCGTGTCCCACTCTGGGGACGCTCCCCCCGTCTGTCTCAGCCGTGGGCACAGGGACAACCCAGCCCCCTCCAGCCTGGCCTCCTCTTCCTCACCCCCCAGCCTCGGAGGGGTGCAGCTGGCAGGGGGACAGGGGCACCAGGGTCAGTGCAGGGACAGGGACATGGGGACAGTGCAGGGACAGGGAAACCCAGGGTCAGGGCAGGGACAGGGACACGGGGACAGTGCAGGGACACCCAGGGTCAGTGTGGGGACAGGGACACGGGGACAGTGCAGGGACACCCAGGCTCAGTGTGGGGACACGCAGGGTCAGTGCAGTGACACGGACACGGGGACAGTGCAGGGACACAGCTGGGGACAATGCAGGGACAGGGAAACCCAGGGTCAGGGACACCCAGGGTCAGTACAGAGACAGGGACACGGGGACAGGGACACCAGGGCAGGCGCTGTCCCCTCTGGTGTCCACACCGGGACCCTCAGGCTGGGACCCCCACCCCGTGGCAGCTGGGGAGATGGGGATGGAGTGGGACAGGCAGGGGCTGGGGTGAAGATGAGGGGATGGGGCAAGGGATGAAGGAGGGAATGGGATGGGATGGGACAGGGATAGGGATGGGATGGGATGGGATGGGATGGGATGGAATGGAATGGAATGGAATGGAATGGAATGGAATGGAATGGGATTGGGGATGGGATTGGGGATGGGGATGGGGACGGATATGGGGCAGGGGATGGAATGGGAATGGGGATGGGGTGGGATTGGGAATGGAGTGGGGATGGGGCAGAAGATGGAATGGGGATGGGGGTGACAGTTCAGGTGAAATGAAGATGAAGATGAGGGTCGGGGTGAGGCAAGGACAGGGACTGGGGATGGGGGATGGAATGGGATTAGGGATGGGAGTGAAGATGGGACAGGGGATGTGGCAGGGGATGGGATGGGATGGGATGGGATGGGGCAGGGGGTGGCAGTACACTTGGAATGAAGATGAAGATGAAGATGAGGGTGGGGGTGAGGCAAGGACAGGGGTGGGGGATGGAGCTGAGGATGACGATCAGGGTGGGGGAGGACAGGGCTGCCAGAGCTGCCGGTGGCCCCAGGGCAGAGATCCTCGGGGACAATTGTCCAGCGGGGACAGCCAGACGATGTCCCTTAACGACCGGCGATGGGACATTTCCTGTCCCCCCGGGACACTGCGGGGGGGACCCTGCCCCAGGACACTCCGGGTGGCACCCACCCCTGTCCCCTGTCCCCAAACACGCCAGGTCCCAGAGCCGAGCCGGGCGGGAGGAAGCGGGGTGTCCCTGCTGTCACCCTGTGTGCCCGGGAGCACCGCGAGGGTGGCACTGCCCGCCAGAGTGAGCACAGACCAGTGACCGTACTGGGCTGAACTGGGACTGTGAGCACAGACCAGTGACTGTACTGGGCTGCAAAGGCGGCGGGAGGCGCAGCCCGCACCGGAGCACGGCCGCGGGCCCGTGAGTAGCGGGAGGGACGGCGGGGCCGGGGTGGGCACCGGGACCGGGAGGGCACCGGGAGCGGGACCGGAGCGCTCGGTTCCGCTCGGCTCCCTTCGGTTCCGCTCGGAACCGCTCGGTTCTACTCGGGGCCGTCCCGGAGGTGGCTCGGCTGTTTTCGCTCCTCTCGGCTCCGCTCGGCTCTTTTCGAACCTCTCGGTTCCGCCCGCTCGCCTCGGCTCTGGCCCGCCCGCCGTTCGGGTCTCTTCGGCTCCTCTCGGTCACTCCGATTCCGCTCGGGTTCTTTCGGTTCCGCTCGGTTCCACTCGGGCCCTTTCGGTTCCCCCTCGGTTCCGGTCCGGCCCGTGCCCCCCCCCCGCCCCCCACCGCAGCCAACCAGCCGGGCCGGGAGGCACCACGTGACCCGGAGCCCAGACAAAGGGCCGCCGGGCTGACCCGCACCGGCCCGGCCGGCTCCGCGCGTTCCGGCTCCGCGCGTTCCGGCTCCGCGCGTTCCGCCCCGGACCGGGCCCGCCGGGCCCCGCGGGTACGGCACCGGCACCGGCACCGGTACCGGTACCGGCACCGCCACCGGCACCACCGCGGGCCGGGCCGCGCAGGGACATCCCGCCGGGCACCGGGGGGCTCGGGGGGGGGACCTGGAGGGGGTGACATGGACTGGGATGGGCGCAGAGCGTACCGGGATGGGCTCGGGAGATACCGGGATGGGTTCAGGGGTACCGGGATGGGCTCGGGATGGGCCCGGGATAAGCACAGAGGTACCGGGATGGGCTCGGGGGGTACCGGGATAATCACGGACGGTAGCGGGATGGGCCCGAGAGGTACCGGGATAGGCACAGAGGGTACCGGGATAGGCACAGAGGGTACCGGGATGGGCTCGGGAGGGTCCCGGGATGGGCTCGGGGCTCCCGGGATGAGTGCCGAGGTCCCGGCATGGGCCCCGGGGTCAGTCCCGGGGTCAGTCCCGGGGGTCAAGGCACCGGAGCTGCCCCGGTGCCACGGCGTGCCCCTCGGTGCCCGCAGGCCGAGAAGAAGGCCAAGGTGGGGGTGACATGGACTGGGATGGGCGCAGAGCGTACCGGGATGGGCTCGGGAGATACCGGGATGGGTTCAGGGGTACCGGGATGGGATTGGGGGGTACCGGGATGGGCCCGGGAGATACCGGGATGGGATTGGGGGTTACCGGGATGGGCCCGGGAGATACCGGGATGGGTTCAGCGGTACCGGGATGGGCTTGGGGGGTACCGGGATAATCACGGACGGTAGCGGGATGGGCCCGAGAGGTACCGGGATAGGCACAGAGGGTACCGGGATAGGCACAGAGGGTACCGGGATGGGCTCGGGAGGGTCCCGGGATGGGCTCGGGGCTCCCGGGATGAGTGCCGAGGTCCCGGCATGGGCCCCGGGGTCAGTCCCGGGGGTCAGCGGGCAAACGGAGGCACCGGAGCTGCCCCGGTGCCACGGCATGCCCCTCGGTGCCCGCAGGCCGAGAAGAAGGCCAAGGTGATCGCCGTGATGAACGTGGTGGAGGAGCCGGCGCGGGCCGAGGCGCAGAAGGAGGAGGAGGCCAGCCCGCCGCCCGGGCCGCAGCAGCCCACCGACCCCGCCTCGCCCAGCGTGGCCACCACGCCCGAGCCCGCCGTGGCCGAGGCGGGCGACAAGAACGCCTCCAAGTCGGCCGACGACGAGCCCGAGTACGAGGTGAGGGCCGCGGAGTGTCCGTGCTCAGCCCCGGGGCCGGTGTGCCCACGCTCAGCCCCAGGCATGGCCCAGTGTGCCCGCACTCAGCCCCGGGGCCGGTGTGCCCACACTCAACCCCCTGCCCAGCCCGGTGTGCCCACACTCAGCCCCGTGCCCGGTGTGCCCGCGCTCAGCCCCGTGCCCGGTGTGCCCGCGCTCAGCCCCGTGCCCGGTGTGCCCGCGCTCAGCCCCGTGCCCGGTGTGCCCGCGCTCAGCCCCGTGCCCGGTGTGCCCGCGCTCAGCCCCGTGCCCGGTGTGCCCGCGCTCAGCCCCGTGCCCGGTGTGCCCGCGCTCAGCCCCGTGCCCGGTGTGCCCGCGCTCAGCCCCGTGCCCGGTGTGCCCGCGCTCAGCCCCGTGCCCGGTGTGCCCGCGCTCAGCCCCGTGCCCGGTGTGCCCGCGCTCAGCCCCGTGCCCGGTGTGCCCGCGCTCAGCCCCGTGCCCGGTGTGCCCGCGCTCAGCCCCGTGCCCGGTGTGCCCGCGCTCAGCCCCGTGCCCGGTGTGCCCGCGCTCAGCCCCGTGCCCGGTGTGCCCGCGCTCAGCCCCGTGCCCGGTGTGCCCGCGCTCAGCCCCGTGCCCGGTGTGCCCGCGCTCAGCCCCGTGCCCGGTGTGCCCGCGCTCAGCCCCGTGCCCGGTGTGCCCGCGCTCAGCCCCGTGCCCGGTGTGCCCGCGCTCAGCCCCGTGCCCGGTGTGCCCGCGCTCAGCCCCGTGCCCGGTGTGCCCGCGCTCAGCCCCGTGCCCGGTGTGCCCGCGCTCAGCCCCGTGCCCGGTGTGCCCGCGCTCAGCCCCGTGCCCGGTGTGCCCGCGCTCAGCCCCGTGCCCGGTGTGCCCGCGCTCAGCCCCGTGCCCGGTGTGCCCGCGCTCAGCCCCGTGCCCGGTGTGCCCGCGCTCAGCCCCGTGCCCGGTGTGCCCGCGCTCAGCCCCGTGCCCGGTGTGCCCGCGCTCAGCCCCGTGCCCGGTGTGCCCGCGCTCAGCCCCGTGCCCGGTGTGCCCGCGCTCAGCCCCGTGCCCGGTGTGCCCGCGCTCAGCCCCGTGCCCGGTGTGCCCGCGCTCAGCCCCGTGCCCGGTGTGCCCGCGCTCAGCCCCGTGCCCGGTGTGCCCGCGCTCAGCCCCGTGCCCGGTGTGCCCGCGCTCAGCCCCGTGCCCGGTGTGCCCGCGCTCAGCCCCGTGCCCGGTGTGCCCGCGCTCAGCCCCGTGCCCTGCCCGGTGTGCCTGCACTCAGCCCCCAGCATGGCCCGGTGTGCCCGCGCTCAGCCCCTGGCATGGCCCGGTGTGCCCGCGCTCAGCCCCGTGCCCTGCCCGCAGGACGGCCGCGGCTTCGGCATCGGCGAGCTGGTGTGGGGCAAGCTGCGCGGCTTCTCGTGGTGGCCCGGGCGCATCGTGTCCTGGTGGATGACCGGGCGCAGCCGCGCCGCCGAGGGCACCCGCTGGGTCATGTGGTTCGGCGACGGCAAGTTCTCGGTGGTGAGTGGCACCCCGCGGGGATGGCGGGGGACAGAGGGGACAGCGGGGACAGCGGGCCCGTCCGTGTCACCGCGGCCCCTCCTGTCCCCAGGTGTGCGTGGAGAAGCTGCTGCCCCTGAGCTCCTTCGCCAGCGCCTTCCACCAGGCCACCTACAAGGCCACGGGGGTGGCAGGGGACAGAGGGGACAGCGGGGACAGCGGCCCGTCCGTGTCACCGCGGCCCCTCCTGTCCCCAGGTGTGCGTGGAGAAGCTGCTGCCCCTGAGCTCCTTCGCCAGCGCCTTCCACCAGGCCACCTACAACAAGCAGCCCATGTACCGCAAGGCCATCTACGAGGTGCTGCAGGTGAGGGGACGCTGCCGGGCCACGGGGACACTGCCGGGGCAGCAGGGACGCTGCCAGGACAGGGGGACACTGCCGGGCCCCATAGTGACACTGCCAGGACAGGGGGACACTGCTGAGCCCCACAGTGACACTGCCAGGGCAGGGGGACACTGCCGGGCCATGGGGTGACACTGCCAGGACAGGGGGACACTGCCGAGCCCCACAGTGACACTGCCAGGACAGGAGGACACTGCCGGGGCAGCAGGGATGCTGCCGAGCTGTGGGGACACTGCTGAGACAGCAGGGTCACTGCCGAGCTGTGGGGTGACACTGCCAGGACAGGGGGACACTGCTGAGTCCCAGGTGGGGACACTGCTGAGGTGGGGGGACACTGCTGAGCCATGGAGTGACACTCACAAACCCCATGGTGACACTGCCAAGCCATGGGGTGACACTGCCAAGCCAAGGGGGGACACTGCTGAGGCAGGGGGACACTGTCAAGCCAGGGGAGGGGACACTGTTGACCCGCAGGGAGGACACTGCTGAGCTGGGGGGGGACAATGCCGAGACAGCAGGGACACTGCCGAGCTGTGGGGACACTGCTGAGACACAAGGGACAGTGCCGAGCCCCGTGGGGACACTTGAGCCCCTGGAGGGACACTGCCAGGACAGCAGGGACTCTCCTGAGCCGGGCAGGACATCCCAGGGCACTGGCTCCACCTGTGGAAGCAGCAGCTGCCTCTCCACCCTGCCAGGACCCAGCCCTGCCCCACCTGGAGGGCTCTGAAAGGGCGTGGGGGTGTGGGGGACCCCCGAGGACACTTGTGCTCTAAGGGGGCATTGGGGTGTCTGGGGATCAGCTGTCCCAGCCTGGGGGGATCCTGGCTTTGGGGTCTCCTGGCCGTGGTGGTCCCCCGAGGCTGGGCCTGCCTGTCTGGGCAGTGTGGGGCCAGCCGGGGGGCCGAGGGTGTCCCCTCCTGCCCCACCTGGAGGGCTCTGAAAGGGCGTGGGGGTGTGGGGGACCCCGAGGACATTTGTGCTCCTTAAGGACCCCCCAGGACATTTGTGCTCTTTATGGACCCCCCCAAGGACATTTGTGCTCCTTAAGGACCCCCCCCCAAGGACACTTGTGCTCTAAAGGGGCATTGGGGTGTCTGGGGATCAGCTGTCCCAGCCTGGGGGGATCCTGGCTTTGGGGTCTCCTGGCCGTGGTGGTCCCCCGAGGCTGGGCCTGCCTGTCTGGGCAGTGTGGGGCCAGCCGGGGGGCCGAGGGTGGGGAGGTGACCCCTGCACCCCCTGCACCCCCCAGGTGGCCAGCAGCCGGGCCGGGAAGATCTTCCCCGCGTGCCCCGAGAACGACGAGACCGACACGTCCAAGGTGGTGGAGATCCAGAACAAGCAGATGATCGAGTGGGCCCTGGGCGGCTTCCAGCCCTCGGGCCCCAAGGGGCTGGAGCCCCCCGAAGGTGAGCGGGCTCAGGGACCACCAGGGCCGTCAGCTCGGGTGGCACCAGGGTGCCACGGGCCCGGGCAGGGAGGTCCTGGGGGGCTGTGACCCTGCTGGGGGGACCCTGGCGGTGTGACCCGAATGGGGACCCCGCTGATGGCCCCGCTGATGGCCCCGGTCCCGCAGAGGAGAGGAACCCCTACAAAGAAGTTTACACGGAGATGTGGGTGGAGCCCGAGGCAGCCGCCTACGCGCCGCCCCCGCCCGCCAAGAAGCCCCGGAAAAGCACAACCCAGGAGAAGCCCAAGGTCAAGGAGATCATCGACGAGCGCACCCGAGGTACCGCGGCCGCCCCAGGCCCCTCTCCTGGCTGCGGGGCTGCCCGGGGGTCCCTCCCCTCAGCCCCTGATCCCTGTCCCCCCAGAGCGGCTGGTGTACGAGGTGCGGCAGAAGTGCAGGAACATCGAGGGTGAGTGTGGGGCTGGGCACGGCTGGGGGGGTCTGTGCTGCCTGCCCGGGCACCCCAGGGCGCGGGGGGCACGCGGGGCTGTGGGGCAGCTCGCCTCGTGCCACCCCTCAGCAGCTGTGCCGTGCCAGTGGCCCACCCTGGAGGGTGGCAGGGACCCCCAGGACACTGGGGTGGGCTGCCCGGGGATCTGGAGGGCAGTGGGAGCCCTGCCTGCTGCTGCCAGGGCTGGTCCCCAGCTCTGCTGTGACCCCAGCATGGGCTGAGTGTGGCCTGGGCACTGCAGGACAGGGCTCGGGGCGTCCCCACCACACTGGGGTGACAGGGTGGTGGCTTGGGGTGTCCCTCTGCTGGGCTTGGGGTGTCCCCACACTGGTGTGGGGTGCCAGGGTGAAGGCTCGGGGTGTCCCCACCATGCTGGGGTGCCAGGGTGAGGGCTCAGGGTGTCCCCACAGTGGTGTGGGGTGCCAGGGCGATGGGTCACCGTGTCCCCACACTGGTGTGGGGTGCCAGGGTGATGGCTCAGGGTGTCCCCATGCTGGTGTGGGGTGCCAGGGAGATGGCTGGGGGTGTCCCCACAGTGGTGTGGGGTGCCAGGGCGATGGGTCACGGTGTCCCCACGCTGGTGTGGGGTGCCAGGGCGATGGGTCACGGTGTCCCCACACTGCTGTGGGGTGCCAGGACCATGTCTCCCCTTCTCCCCCAGACATCTGCATCTCCTGCGGGAGCCTCAACGTGACCCTGGAGCACCCTCTGTTCATCGGGGGGATGTGCCAAAACTGCAAGGTAGGGTGTGGGGCACGGCCCGGGGGGCTCACAGGGTGTGCCCTGCCCCGAGGTGGGGTCCCCAGTGTCCCCAGGCCCGCAGTGACACCCTGGCTGTCCCCAGAACTGCTTCCTGGAGTGTGCGTACCAGTACGACGACGATGGCTACCAGTCCTACTGCACCATCTGCTGTGGTGGCCGTGAGGTCCTCATGTGTGGCAACAACAACTGCTGCAGGTGCCAGGGGCTGGGGGTGCCAGGGGCAGGGCTGGAACCAGGGCTGGGCTGGAACTGGGCCCCTCTCCTGTCTGGAGTGAGGCTGGGCACGTTTGGTGTTGCCACATTCCTGCCACGTGCCTTTGGTGATGCCAGCCCTGGTGTGGGACTGGGCAGTTTTGGTGATGTCCCAGTCTCAGTAAGGGACTGGGAAGGTTTGGTGGTGCCACAGGCTTGGCATAGGAGTTCAGCCGATCCTGGTTTGGGGCTGGGATGTTTTGGCAGTGCTGTGGTCTGTGGCACAGGAGCAGGCAGGTGTGGTGGTGCAGGGAGGTTCTGGTGCTGCCAGGGAGGTTCTGGTGGTGGCACTGTCCCCGTGTCACACTTTGATGTCCCGGTCTGGGTAGGGTGTGGTGATGCCACAGTCCCACCATGCTCGGTGATGGGAGGTTCTGGTGATGCCAGGTCCTGGGAATTCGGTGGTGTCATTAAGGAAATGTCCCAGTGGGAGCATTGCTGAGCCTCCCGGGCTGCCGCACTGCCAGTGCCAGAGGGTGTCACTGCTGTGGCCAGAGCCTGGTGGCTGCACTGGCCCGATGGCCCAGCTGGTCGGGCCCTGTTCCCCCACGGCTCCAGCCCAGCTGGCCAGTGGCAGTCTCACATGTCTTGTTCAGTAAAGCCATTTATTCGTGGCACAGAAATGCAAACTCAGCCTGAGCTGGTGCCTCTGAGGAGGGGTCCCCACTAAAGAACCCCTCGGTTTTGTCCCCTCAGTGTCCCCCTCAGAGTCCTCAGCTCCTGGCATCCACCTGGCTGGCAGGAGCTCTTTATCTCCTTTGTTATGCTGTCCGGACTCCTGCTGGCTCTCTGTCCATTCACCTGGATCACCCTTCCTTGTCCTCTTTGTTATTCCAAAGCTCAGCAGTTCAGCTGGGGCTCCACCCAGAGCTCAGCCTCTGCAGCTCAATCTGCATTGCAAATCCTCTGCCTGGACCGGATTTATGCACCTCAGCACCACTCTGGGACATCTGGTGATGCCTCAGTGCTCACGTGGAGCTAGAGAGGCTTTGGTAGTGCCACAGACCTGGCAATGGGGTGCTGCCAGTCCTGCTGTGGGGCTTGGCAATGTTTTGGTGATGCCACAGTCCCAGCACGGGAGGCTCTGGTGAAGCTTCAGTGGTGCCAGTCCTGCCTTGGGGCTGGGAGGGTTTGTGATGTCCCAGTGCAAGACTGGAAGGATTTTCATGGTGCCACATTCCTGCCATTCCTGGGCTGTTGGTGATGCCAGCCCTGCTTTGGGGCTGGCATGTTTTAATGATGCCACAGTCCCTGAGTGTAGGTTGGGAGGTTTGGTAAAGTTCTGGTCCAGGTGTGGCACTGTGGCAGTTTGGCAATGCCTGCATGGAGCCGGGAAGCCCAGGTGATGCCACAGCCCTGGCACAGGGACTGTGTGATGCCAGCTGTGCTTTGACACTGGGAGCTTTTGGTGGTGCCTTGGTCCTGGTTTGTGGGGCTGGGGGAAGTTCTGGTCATGCCCCAGACTGGCACAGTCCTGCCACGGAGTTCTGGGTGATGCCAGCCCAGGTGTGGCGCTTTGGAGGATTTGGCAGTGACGAGATCCTGCAGGGCTGGGGGAGGCTCTGGCAAGGCTCCAGTGCTGCTGTGGGGCTCAGCAGTTCCACTGATGGCCCAGCTCTGGGGTAGGACTGAGGTTTTTGGTGATGGCACAGTCCTGCCGTGGGGCTTTGGGTGACCCCAGGTCTGGTGTAGGATTGAGGCTTTTGGTGATGGCACAGTCCTGTCGTGGGGCTTTGGGTGACCCCAGCTCTGGGGTAGGACTGAGGCTTTTGGTGCTGCCACAGTCCTGCCGTGGGGTTTTGGGTGATCCCAGGTCTGGTTTGGGGAGGTTCTGGTACTGCCACAGGCCTGCCATGGGGTTTTGTGTGGTGCCAGGTCTGGTTTGGGGAGGTTCTGGTGCTGCCACAGTCCTGCCATGGGGTTTTGGGAGGTTCTGGTGCTGCCACAGCCCCGCTGCAGGGCTGGGCCAGGCTCTGGCAATGCCCAGCACAGAGCTGTGGTCCCAGAGCAGGGCTGGGCGTGGGCAGGCCTGTGGGGACAGCCCACTGGTGCCCTGCCGTGATTCCGGCGGTGCCACGGCCCTGGCACGGCCCCGTGCTGACCCCGGCTGCCCCCCGTGCCAGGTGCTTCTGCGTGGAGTGCGTGGACCTGCTGGTGGGCCCGGGGGCGGCGCAGGCGGCCATCAAGGAGGACCCCTGGAACTGCTACATGTGCGGCCACAAGGGCGTCTACGGGCTGCTGCGGCGGCGCGAGGACTGGCCCTCGCGCCTGCAGATGTTCTTCGCCAACAACCACGACCAGGAGTTTGTGAGTGCCCCTCCCTGATGGCCTCCAGCCCTCCCTGCTGACCCCCCAGCCCTGCCCTGCCCTGCTGACCCCAGCCCCTCCCCTGCCCTGCTGACCCCAGGCCCTCCCTGCTGACCCCAGCC